GCGGGCGCGGGCGCGCGCGCGGACTGCCTAGGACTATCGTCGCCGGCGCGCGGGGGGCATCGCCGTCGTCGGCGAGATAAACATCGGCGCCGTCGTGGGCCGTGCCGTCGCTACTGTCATTATCGCAGCCATCGTCGCTTCTGCGACCATCGCGTCCGCCGCGCTGGCGCCGCCGCGATGCCGCGCCCGCCCGAGCCGCCGACTCGCGCTGAAGTGCCCGCGTGTCAGCGCGGCCTGCGAGACGCGCTGGGAAGTCCCCAGCGGCCGCCAGCGCCGCGGCCGCGTCGGTCGCGCCAGTCAAGCTGGCCCTTCTGCGCGCCAGCCTGCGCGGATTAGCGCGGCCGCATCGACGCGCCGGCCAGCGCTGGGTAGCGGGCCGCAATCGCAGTCGCGGCCGCGTGAGTTTTGCGCGCCAAGTTGCTGGCGGGCGGGTGGCAGGCGAGATGCTTGCGCGAGCAGTAGAGTGCACGACTCGCTGCGAACTCAGACCAGATGCACCGCGTAGAGTTCTTCCTCGCGAGGATTTTGCGACCCCCCCCGCCCCCCCCCTCGCGGCGCCATCGCCCCTTCTGGGGCAAGTAATTTTGCATGCGATGATGCCCCACTGTTCGTTTCAGCTCCGAATTCATAACTCCCGGGGGGGGCGTGACCGCGAGGCCCCCCCATCCTCGCGTCCAGCAGTGCGTTTTTGGTTCGCAGGGAGTTGTCCACTCCAGCGCTCGCGCAATCGCCCTGACCCCACGCCCGCGATATGGCGCGCAAAACCCATGCGGCGGCAACTGCGATGACTGCTCGGCGCTGGCTGGCGCATCGCCGCGGCCGCGCTAGTGCGCGCGCGCGGTGGCCAGCTTGTCCAGCGCGACGGGCGCGGCCGCGGTGGCGACAGTCGTTGGGGGCCTCCCAGCGCGGCTCGCGGGCGGCGCTGGCGCGCGCGCACTTCAGCGCGAGTGGGCGACGCTGGCGGGCGCCGCCTCGCGGCGACTTCGACGGCGCAGGCACGGCGATGATAGCGGCGGTGCCTGGCGGCGACGGCGATGGCGACGGCAAGGCCATGGCAGCGCAGATGCTGATCGCACCGGCGACGATGCTGGCGCCCGCGCGTCTGCGATGAAGGCGCCAGGCGGATTTCGACGCGCGCGCGTCCGACGCGGGCGAGGGGCCCGCGCGGTGTTTCGCGACAGAGATCGCCCCCCCCGAAAAAAAACAGAAAAAGCAAGCGCGCGAAAGGCATTCGAGTGACCCTGGCTTGCGCGCGCGACGCCCGCGTGGTCTCATCTAGGAAAACATGTTCCAACCCAAGAAATAACGATTTTCGTTAATATTTCCAAAGACGCGTAGATTTTCTTGTAACCTCACGTTGCAAAACCATTTGGAGCCACATATGTTTTCAGGGGTCTCGATCTCGAAATCTTTCCAACATCCAAGGTCTATGATTGATTTCGTCGTGCAAGCGGAGCGCCGAGCGTGTGGGTCTGTTGTTGAAAAAGGATTTGACAACTGCTGATGCACGACGAACGGGCGCGCGCATGGTATTATTTGAAAAGGGTGCTAGGGGGGGGGGGGGGGGGGGCGGTCGATGCTGGGCCCCTCTGGGACGGCGCGCACTAATTCGGAGAACGTACGACGGGGCATACTCGTAAGTAAAGCTTGCTATAATCGGGGGAAGCGACACTTCAGGGGAAGTGTGTTGGCGATGGGTTTTCTTACAAAGGGGAGTGCACGAATGCTCACAAGTGGGTTAACAATTTCAGTGCTCGCCAAATCGCCCCACCCACGAGCCCGCAATTTGGCGATTGCGACTGCTGCTTGTCGCTGGCTGGCGCATCGCAGCGGCCGCGCTTGCGCGCGCAGGCTCGCGCGCAGAAGGGCCAACTAGTTTGGTGCGACCGACGCGGCCGCGGTGGCGCTGACCGCTGGGGACTTCCCAGCGCGTCTCGCAGGCCGCGCTGACGCGCGGGCACTTGAATGCGAGCCCGTGGCGCTGTCGGGCGCGGTTTTGTGGCGACGTGGGCAACGGCGGGCACGATGGTGGCAATGGTGAAGATGGCAACGGCAAAGCCAATGTCGGCCCCGATTCTGATCACGCCGATTACGATGATGGTGTCCACGAGTCGGTGATGAATTTCTTGGGGGGATTTCGAGCTGCGCGCACGGCCGACGGGCGCGAGTTAATTGACAGAGGTCGATCCCCCCCAACACGCGCGCAAAGGCGCTCGAATGTGTTCGACATGTGCGTGCGAGAGGCCTGCGTTGGTGCATTCGGTAGAATCGGATTTTCGCTACAATTCGCAGGACCGCGCGCGCAGATGCGTTTGAAACGTTGTCGGGCGAATCCATTTTTTTGATGACCTTGCAGTTCAAAAAAAGCTGTGTTCGGGAAGCTCGATCTTCAAATCCCGATGACAGTTCACATGTGCCACGAATTCCTGCAGGCGCGCAGCGCCGCAAGCGTGTGCACGTTGTTCATTTGTCCGATGGATATTTCAAAACTGCGTTTTTTTCAATAAGACGAGTGTGCGCGCATAGTATTGAGGGATGAAGGGAATCTGGGTCGATACCGGGTCCCCCTGGGAAGAAACGAGCTCAGATTGAAAACGAAAGATGGGACAGACTCGAATTTGAATTGGTATATCCCAAGGGGAGATAATTCTAGACGCTTCGCGTATCCCCACCAGCCCGTCCAGAAATGAGTCCCAGGGGAGTGGAGGTTATGAGGGAAGCGGGGGAGCATGCAGAAGAACAAAGGGCGGGGTGAGCCGCCATATACCCCAAGAGGGGGAGGATGTAGGAGGAGCCGTCGTCGTAGGAGTAGGAGGAGGAAGAGGAGGAGCAGGAGGAGGAGCACGAGGAGGAGCAAGCGGAGGAGGAGAAGGAGGATAAGGAGGAGGAGATGGAGGACTGCGAGGACGAGGAGGACGAGAAGGAGGAAAAGGAAAAGGAGGAGGAGGAGGAGGAGGAGGAGGGGGAGGGGGAGGAGGGAGGAGGAAGAAAAAGAGGAGGAGGAGGAGGACAATGGCGAGCTTGGGGGCCTCTTGGGCCGTCTTTGGGGCCTCTTGGCGGTCCCGGGGGCCTCTTGCGTATCTCGGGGAGCCTCTTGTGGCCTCTTGGGGGTCTCTTGGGGGCCTCTTGGAGGCCTCTTGGGGGCCTCTTGGGGCCTCTTGGGGCCCTCTTGGGGCGCTCTTGGGGCGCTCTTGGGAGCCTTCGAGGCGCTCTTGGGGCCATCTTAGAGGAGATCTATCAAAGAAGGGGGGGTCCCCAATTAGCGCTGCCCCTCTAAAGTGCCTCGAATCGCTTCTTGGGCCCCCCAAGAGGCCAAAATCTTTCCAAAACCTAAGGAAAATCAATGTTTTGTGTTTTCTCGCCTTTTCGCTCTTGGAGCCGTCTTGGGCCGTCTTGGGAGCCTCTTGGGCCTCTTGGGGGTCTCTTGGGAGCCTTGTGGAGGCCTCTTGGGCGCCTCTTGGGGCCTCTTGGGCGCTCTTGGGGCGCTCTTGGGGCGCTCTTGGGAGCCTTCGGGGCGCTCTTGGGGCCATCTTGGAGGAGATCGATCAAAGAAGAGGGGGTCCCCAATTAGCGTTGCCCCTCTAGAGTGCCTCGAGTCGCCTCTTGGGCCCCCCAAGAGGCCAAAATCGTTCCAAAACCTATGTAAAATCAATGTTTTTTGCTTTCTCGCCTTTTCGCTCTTGGAGCCGTCTTGGGCCATCTTGGGAGGCTCTTGGGGCCTCTTAGAGGTCTCTTGGCAGCCTCTTGGAGGCTTCTTGGGGGCCTCTTGGGGCCTCGTGGGGCCGTCTTGGGGCGCTCTTGGGGCGCTCTTGGGAGCCTTCGGGGCGCTCTTGGGGCCATCTTGGAGGAGATCTATCAAAAAAGGGGGGGTCGTATATTAGCGTTGCCCCTCTAGAGTGCCTCGAGTCGCCTCTTGGGCCCCCCCGAGAGGCCAAAATCCTTCCAAAACCTAGGTAAAATCAATGTTTTGTGTGTTTCTCGCCTTTTCGCTCTTGGAGATGTCTTGGGCCATCTTGGCCGTCCCAACGACCCGCGGAACGCCCCGTCCAGGTCAGTGGGGAGGGGTAAGGGGAGGGGTAAACCCCTCCCCGAAGGGGAAGAAGGGGGTTGGCAGAGGAAACTCCCTAAACCACCTACGCCCTAAAGGGCTGGTGGGATTCTTGCGGGGGTGGATCTACGGCGGCGACAACGCGGCGACGGGGCGGCGACGGCGGCCACATAACCGCCAGACCGACACACAGGCCCAGACGACGGGCGGCGACGAGGCGGCGACAGAGCGGCCACGGTGGCCACATAGCAGCCAGACCGGCAGACACTTCCAGACGACGTGCGGCGGCAAGGCGGCGATTGAATGGCGACGGCGGCCACATAGCCGGCAGAACGGTTCACAGGTCCAGTCCATTCATCCGCCTCTTGTTGTTACTTTGCCCGCTTTTGCTCCATGCCATCATGCTCCTCATGTACTTCACGACGTGCTCCAGATTTGTCCTCCGCATACTCATATTTTTCCTCCCGCGTATTGTTCTTCCAACTCTTTTTGTTGTTCCTCATCATCCGATTCCACAGCATCACAATATGCAGTTTTCGATTGCCATCCCATTATCAGGCTCCTTCCTCTTATGTGTATCCAACGTTTCTTTCCCACCCTGATCCTCCGCCTCCTCCTCATCCTCTTGTTCTTATTTCTCATCTTGCCACTCTGCATCTTCCGATTCCGTAAATCCTTCCCAGTCCGTGTCCTCTTGCCGCGATTTCGAGGCTTTTGTTTCTCCCCCATCCCCCCTTTCTGCTTCATTCTCCCTGGAACCGTTGTGCCTCTTCATCATCCTTCTTCCCCCCTCGTCCGTACCATCCCTCTCTCCCCTCGCTGCAGACCCTTCCCCAAAAAAACACGGCGACGCCGCCGCCGCCTTCGTCGTCACCGTCCATGTTGTCGTCTGGCCCGCCGCCGTCGTCACCGCCGCCGCCGCGCCCGCCGCCCCCCCCGCGCAACCCTGAAGCCTCGGCACCTTCATGTCGCTGCTGCGCGACCCGCGCGTGGACTACGAGGCGCGGGCCGCGCACCTCCGCTGCCGCGCCTTGCGGGTGTCTGGCGGTGCTTGCAGGTGTTGTGGTAGCTCGTGGGGCTGTTTCGGGTTTTTGGGCTGTCTGCCGGCGGTGGCCTCCCCTCCGTGTGAGTGCGTTCCTCTTCCTCTCTCTCGCGTTCGCTCGCGCTTGTCTTCCACACATCCTGCCGCCTGTTAATTTGCGCCTTCCGTTGCCGGTACCGCCTGAGTGCGCGTGCGGACTGCCTCTGCCGCGCTGCGACGTAAAAGTGTCTGGGGTGTCCATGACGCTTTGGTGCTCGGGATGTCTGGGGTGAATGGGGCGTCTGCGTGTGTCTGTTGGTTTCGTGGTTGCGGGGGGGGGGCCCGGGGGGCGTCTAGGCTGTGGGGGTGTCTGGAGTGGACGTGGTTCGTCAGGTGCTTGGCGATGCCTGTGGTGCCTGAGGGGCGTTTTCGAGTGGCTTAGACGTCTGAGTGCCTGGGGTGCCTCGTCTTCCTTCCCTTAAGAACTTGTTTCGTTTCGTTCGATCCTCTTCTTTCCCAATTCAAGGGGAAATCGCCAGGGTAAATTTTCCTGGTTGAGTTTGCCCGGGCGAACGTCCCTTCTGAGTCTGCCCAGGGTCTGCGGTGAGCGAGGGGGTGAAGTGAGAAGGTTAAGGCCCTCTCATAAGGCGGCGGGACTTCTCAGAAGCCCCCGCGTCTTCTGAGAGGTTTTTTGTGTCTTCGGAGAAGGCCCAGGAAACGTTTCAGAAGGCCGAGGGACTTCCGAACCTTCTCAGAAGGACTTCTTTTTCACGCTTCCCCCCTCGCTGGCCGCCTGCCTCCTGGGGTGGTCTACCTCATGGGGTGGTCTACCTCCTCCTGGCGGGCGGGCGAGCGTGCGAGCGTGCGAGCGGGTTGCCGGGCGGGCGGGCGGGCGGGCGGGCGGGCCCCCGGGTGGGCGGCCGCTCGCGCGGGCAGGCGGGCGGACGAGCTGGCTGGCGGGCGAGTGGGCGGGCGGCTGGCTGGGGCCCGAGAAGATGGCGTCGAGGGGTCGCGCCGCATCGCCGATGCATCGGCGATGCGCCTCGCGCTGGAGCCCGATGTTCTCCCCGCCGGCGTCGCCGATTTATCGCCGACGTTGCCGATGCATTGTCGATATGTCGCTGATGCATTAACTGTTTTCAAACAATCTTTTATGTCTCAGAGAACGGGGTCGAGGGCCGTCTGTACTCTCCTTATCTTTGTATGTGCTCATAGCTTTTTCGGTCCGAGCAGGTTTGGGCTCCAGCGAGCCCGTCGCCCGCAGGACCGAGGCACCAGCCTGCTTCCGTGCCCCCGCCGCGGGGCGCTCGGGGGCTGTCATCACGGCGCGCGGGGTGCTCGCCATGCTGCTCTTCCTGGTGGTGCAGGAGCTGCACTACCTGATCCCCGAGAGCGGGGTCCCCGAGCGCGGCTTCGGCAGCGCCGAGGAGGAGGCCTACGGGGAGGAGGTGATCGAGGGCACGGCCACCACCAGGTGGACGATGGCGCCGTGGGCGCGATGGAACAGGATCTACGTGAAGAGCCCCTCCAAGCCACAGGGGGTGGTGATGCTGCTGGTGACGAAGGCGGGCGCGAAGCATCCGGGCCTGTGGGCAGCAGCGGACCCCACGCATCGCATCGTGATGATCGACGTGAGGGACAAGAAGCGGGTGCTGACGAAACCGACGGCGAACGTGGAGTGGACGGAGCACCCTGGCGTCTCGGCTCGGGCCCGCGACGCGGTCATCACCGCGGCGGAGAGGGCGATCGCTAGGCTCGAGGTCGACGTTGAAAAACGGAAAGCTGAAGGTGAGCAAGCCCCCGCCGAAGTCGAAGAAGAAAAGCGCGAAGGGTGGCTTCGTCGCGTGGCTGACGGGCGGAGTGGGGAACCTCTTCACGGCGCTGTGGGCCAAGCGGAGTTGGGGTTCGTGGAGCGCGATCTCCTTCCTGTGCTGGCGTGCGTGGCGCTTCTTCCGCCTGGGCTCGATCTTCCGAGCGGCCTATGATGGGGCCCGAGCCGTCTACGAGACTGTCGAGGACGTTCGGCACGTGTGTGACACCATCTACGAGTACTACGAGAGCGGGGACCTGGAGTACGTCCTCGTGGCCATCGGCGGGACGCCGGTGACGGGGTACCTTCTCTGGGCGTGGTCCTACGGCGACTCGAGCGACTCCGACTCGGACAGGGGCTCCACGATCAGCGACGACGAGGACGACAGGGTCCTGGGGACTCAGGTTGCCGACTCCGACGACGAGCCGTCCCCGCGACGCCTCTTCGCGGAGCTGGCCAATCAGCAGCAGGCCCTGCAGAGGGCGATGACCGACCTGACTGGGGCAGTTGCGACACAGTCTTTCGGGGCCAGGACCTCGCCTCCACGTTCTAGTGGCTCAGACCGCACGTCGGACCCAGGTCCCTCCGGCCCTGAGGCGCAGTCCGTGAGCGAGAGTGAGGGGCAGCCGACCACATCCCAGATCGACGACTTCATCTCGAAGCTGAACGAGCACGTGGATCCGGCACAGACGGATTCTACACGGGCGACTGCTGACGCTGGGTCCCCGGCGAAGTGACTCGACAGCGCGGGCTCCTGGGAGCAGGTCGGGCGCGTCGACGAGGAGCTGCAGGATCGCATCCAGCTGCTGAAGGAGGAGAGCCGCAACCCGCGCGACGGCCTGCTGGCCACCCTCGAGAAGTTCAAGAATGTGCGCATGACGCCTGCGGGCGGCGTGAAGACGAGGGTCGCGCCGACCGTGCTGCACAAGCTGCACCGGTCGGGACGCACGGCCAAGATCGAGCTGGGCGAGTGGTTGAGGTCGAAGGAGCTGCAGCGGGCGAGCATCAGCTCGGAGGTGATGATGTTGGCCATGGTGCTGGACCGCATGATGGCGGAGGGCGCCTATGACCAGCTCATCGACAGCCCCGCGGCGGAGCTCACTTGCCTCCGTCTCTACGCGATCTGGAAGGCCTATGAGAATGTGAAGTGTCTCAACGACTGGCAGCGACCGAAGGGGCAGCAGAGCGGGGGCAAGTGGCGCTCCAAGGTCGACTGAGCCTTGGCCGACGAGTACCTCAGGGTGGACGGCGATGCGGAGCTTGCGAACCTGAAGGCCGACGATGAGGCGACGGAGAAGCCGAAGAGGAGGGCAACCATCGCGAAGCACCTGCAGGGCGCCAAGGATAGCGGCGCGGTGGGTGCAGTTCACGAATAGGTTGCGGCCGGGACCCCCGTGGCAAGTCCTGGCCAAGCGCGCGCTCAAGGCGCAAGGCCACGCTCGAGGTGGATTCGGGTGCTGCTGTGGTGCCTGGGCGCCCTGCAGACACCTGGGAGCTCGCGGGCCTTCGAGGTAGCGGGCTGGTGCCCAGTCGCGCCCCCCTGGCTGCGCGGCTTCTCGGGCGCGGCCAACTTCCTCAGGTCGGACGAGGGCGTCTCCGAGTTCGACCTCTACTCCAACGACACCTTTTTCTCGCGTCGGGGCGCAGGTCACCTGGTGGACCCTGCCCCTGATGATGGTGGACGAGAGGGAGCGGGACCCGCTGCGAACGCCCCCCATCCTGCCGCGCCCGCTTTCTGCCCGGCCTACTTCCCATGGCTTGGGCGAGAGGCAGCTGCAGCTGACACTCGCCCGAGTCCAAAGGGCATCGGCGGCCATTCGGGGTTTGGCGGCGGGGCATCTGGGCCAGGAGACCCTGATCTTGAGGCGGCGGAGGGATTGGCGGGAGTGGAGGACTGCGACCCCATTACAGACGGCCATTGTCAACGATCTTTGGGACAGGCACGCTCAATCGGAGTGCCGGGGTACCATCAACGACGGCAGGGCGGTGATCAGCCGTCTGGGGGGGGGAAGGGGCGCTGGACTATCAGAGTGCGCGTGCAAGGGCGAGATCGAGGACGACGAGGAAGCACCTGAGCAAGGGGGACATGTGCCCGCTGGTGGCCTCGGAGGCCCCGGTGCCGCCGCCGAATGCGGAGGGCCTGGACATCGAGAGGCTTTCGGAGACGGCGGGGACCTACCTCAGCAATGTTGGCAGCGAGATGATCAGGGAAGTGGGCCAAGTCGACTGGGACCGCTACGAGAACACGCGCAGCTACACCGACCAGGGCTGGAGACGGGCCAACAACCGACTCGAGCTCGCCCTCCGAATGCTTCGCTCGGGGATGATAGGCTACGTGAAGAACATGCGCAGTCAAGAACCTGAGCGAGTCGGGGACGGCGGTGGAGAAGAGCCGCCTGGTCTGGGACTGCAGGCGGGTCAACCTCCTGTTCCAGGACCCGCCGTGGGTGCCACTGGGGTCCCCCGCATCCCTGGCGCTGTTGGAGCTGGACGAGTCAATCCTACATGGGCGACGGTTATACTCCTTCCAGGGCGATATTCCCGACTGGTTCAACCGGCTACGATGGCCAGCTTCATTGGCGGAATATTTTGCGCTGCCAGAGGTGACCCCGCAGCTTATCTACGACTACGCGCGCAAGCAGGGGATCTCCATGCCGAAGCCCGAGCACGACAATATTGGACTTGGAGCCATGTCCCCCGTCATGGGGTCCAGCTGGGCCGTCTTCTTGGCCCACAGCTGCCTGTCGGACGCCCTGGAGAGTTTGCCCGGCATCAACCTCGGGCAGATCACCTATGGGAGGCCGACCCCGTCCTTCGAGAAGGTGCAGCTGATGCTATTGTTGTGCATCGACGACTACATCGGGCTGAAGCTGCGTTCGTAGAATGGGGAGGAGCTGGGGTTGGACAGGGGGAAGGTGAAGGCGCACCTCGTGGGTCAGGGCCTCCCAGTGTACAAGGAAGACTGGGGGGGGGGCCTGGCGAGGGGTCTGGGGCTGGCCATTGGCCCAAGGCCATGCAGGCTCCGCGTCGTCCAGGACAAGATGAGAGACATGGTGCTGGCGACCGAAGCGGTGGTCATCATGGGTCGTGTGCCCCCTGCTGCTCTCAGCAGTCTGCTGGGCCTGTGGACGTGGGCGATCATGACCAACAGGGCGGCCTTCTGCATCCTGGATGCCGCCTGCCGCTGGATGCACGGGTTCTGCGAGGAGGACGCGATGCGGTGGCAGAAGTTGGACATCCAGGTATTGGGCGAGCTGCAGGCGCTCTCGGCGCTGCACGTCTTTATGGAGGCGGACCTGGAGGCACCCTGGCTGGAGAGGGTCTACATGGCGGATGCGTCGGAGGAGGGTTTCGCAGCGGTTGTGACGAAGGCCGACGTGGAGGAGATCAGGACAGAGCTCAGTCGAGGATCGCTGCAGTCATGGACGATTCAGGCGGCACGAGCGCACGCGGAGGTGGAGCAGGAGGTCGAGGCCGAGGGCGACGAGGACGACGCGCCAATGTCACCAGAGATGGGGAGACCGGGCTTTCTGGAGCTGTTCGCGGGCAGCGAGAGGCTCCTCCAGGCGATCGTCGCTCTGACTCTCTCGTGGGGAGAGGCATGGGGCTTGGCCCGTGGCCGCGAATGCGATCTCCTCAATGTTTCCAACCTCGAACGTCTCTTCCGACGGCTACGATGGCGGTGGCGGTGGTGGATACACATGGCCCTTCCCTGTTCTACCTTCCCGCGGGCGAGGCGACCTCCCCTGAGATCGCCCGACTGCCCCTGGGGCCTGCCAGGTCTGAGTCCCGGCGACGCGGAGAAGGCGCAGGAGGGGTCTACGCTGCGCGTGCTGGCGGTGCAGGCGGCGCTCTTCTGCATCAGGGAGGGGATATACTTCGTGATCGAGAACCCCGAGTCCAGCCTGATGTGGGTCTTCCCACCCATGCTCGAGCTGCACGCGAGGTCCGAGGTCATCAGGACCAGCCTGGACTACTGCCAGTACGGGGAGGAATGGAAGAAGCCGACCACCCTGGTCACCAACTGCAGGGCCCTCTGCGTGATGGAGCATCGATGCCAGGGTGCGCGTGGACGCTGCTCGAGGACAGGGCTGGTGCATCGCGAGTTGCGGGGCAGCGGCCCGGGCGGCGCCAAGTGGACGAAGATCGCCTGCCCGTGCCCCGTGCTCTTCTGCGAGGCCTACGCTCAGGTTGCGAGGGGCGTCGAGCCCTCCTGGGAGAGGGCCCCGAACGGCGCGCAGGTGAGACTGCGTCATGGACTGCCTCGGGTCGTGAGGGCCCGAGCTCAACGTCTTCCACCGCAGGAGAGCTGGCTCGGCGAGCAGAGGTGGAGGGTCTTGTTCCAGGGGCGCTGGCAGCGGGAGGATAACAACAATGTGTTGGAGCTGAGGACGATAGTGGGGCTGCTGCGACATCTACCGAGGACTTCGAGGGCCTGGAGATCTCGAGTTCTCATCATGACGGACTCGTTGGCGAGCCTCGGGGTGCTGACCAAAGGGAGAAGCTCGGCACGGGCTCAACTGCACCTGGCGAGAATGGCGGGTGTGGTACAGCTGGTGCGCCGACTGCGCCCATATTACCGCTGGGTACCCTCCGAGGTCAACGTCGCCGACGGACGTCTCGACAGGTCGACCTGGGAGCGGCGGAGGAGACGAAGGCGGGCCACAGCACGAGGTACACACCCAAGCGGCTTCTCCACTGGCTTCGGGGGCTGCGACGGCGAGGAACCGCTGGACACTCCCATTGGTGATTCTCTTCGTCTCGACGCAGCGGGCGGCGGCGGCCCCGCGTGGGCCGAAGCCACCCCCGCTCAAGCAGAGAGGAGCTCTTGCTTGGGAGAGGGCCGCCGAGGGCCCGCTGAAGTACAACAACAGGCTGGTGATCCACGCTGTCGACGACAATACGCGCATCCAGTACCAGCGAGCCGTCAAGGACTTCTTAGTGGAGGTGAAACGCTCCGGACAGCCGTTCAGCACGGTGGCGGGGCGCGACCGGACTACATCGCCGACGTGTGCTATGTGCAGCAGGCCAGCTTCATGAAAGCGAGCTACCTTTTCAACGGGTTCATGCACATCTTCGAGGACCACAGGAACTTCCTCCCAGTCGCCGCCCGCGCACTCAAGAGTTGGGGGCGCATGGGCTTCGGCGGGGAGGGCGAGCCTATCCCGATGGAGGCGATGGGGACCATCATCAAGGCGTTCTTCGAGCGCGGCATGATTATTGAGGTCGCGGCCGCGCCCGTGCAGCTGGACGGGTGGTTGAGGGGGCAAGACTGGTGCCAGCTGCGGAAGAACGACGTGAGCATCGACAGGGACGGGCGGGTCGCGCTACCCCTTGGAAGGCGAGAGCGCGGCGAGAAAGTGAAGACCGGATCCGACCAGGGTGTCGAGCTCAAGATGAAGGTCGCCAAGGCCATCATGGAGGTTCTCGTCTCGGTCATCTCTGACCAAGAGCTCGTGCTGCCCGTGAGCCAGGGCAGTTTCAGGCGTTCGTGGGCCAAGCTGCTGGGCGAGCTGGGCTTGGGGCACATGGGGCCTCCTCGTGGCATCCGCCACGCCGCGGCGGCCGATTTCGTCGCGGCTGGCGGAGGACTGGAGGACGCCCGCAGGCGCGGGCGCTGGAAGACCCCATCAGCGCTGAGCCGATACACCAAGGTCCACACGCTCATCAGACGCCGTTCACAATTGCCATCTACGACGATGGAGACGGGCCGCAGCTTTTGGCGTCAGCCGGCCAAGCAGCTGAAGGAGGCGATCATGAACTCACCCGTGTCCGACACCCCGCTGGCGAGGCTACTGGTTGTGAAGCTCGCGCGGGTCAGAGACGACGAGGTGCAGGTTTTCGACGACGAAGGACCTGAGCGTTGGCGCCACTGCTGTCTCCTCCCCCCGCCTCGCCCTCGCAGTCAGTAATGGGGGAACTCGTGGGCTAGCCATAAGGGGGAAAGTCTGGGCCTTTAAAGTTTTATCCTTGTTCCCCCCCCCCCCGATTGGCCTGCTGATTTTGGAGGCAGGCTGAGGGCCCGTCGGGCCAGATGCTTGCTAGGCGGCGTGGACGGGTGATCACGATTAACTTTAGTTCTTGGGGTGCCCCGTGATGTAGATTGCGGGCCTGCTCGGGCATCGGCCCGAGTCGGTGCACGCCTTGCATCTCTCGAGACTCGTGTTTGCAAGATCTTCGGGCGAGGTCGCCCACTGGTGTGGAAAATGGTTCGCTCTTTCACTCGGCACTCCTGTCGGAGGCCTCCGCCCGACCCCCTCTTGTGGCTGGCCCTTCCCCGTAGCTGTACACACACAAATAACTGTTTTCAAACAATCTTTCATGTCTCAGAGTGCGGGGTCGAGGGCCGCCTGTACTCTCCTTGTCTGTGTATGTGCTCATAGCTTTTTCGGTCCCGCCCCCCCCTGCCCTTGTGAGGGTCATCACGATTAACTTTAGTTCTTGGCGTGCCCCGTGATGTAGATTGCGGGCCTGCTCGGGCATCGGCCCGAGTCGGCGCGCGCCTTGCATCTCTCGAGATTCGTGTTTGCAAGATCTTCGGGCGAGGTCGCCCACTGGTGTGGAAAATGGTTCGCTCTTTCACTCGGCACTCCTGTCGGAGGCCTCCGCCCGACCCCCTTCTTGCGGCTGGCCCCTCCCCGTAGCTGTACATACATAAACGCCGATTTATCGACGATGCATCGGCGATGCATCGACGACGCGGCGCGGCCATCCTGTCCCATCTGCTCGGACCCTTCTTTCAGAGAGGTACCGACGCCGCTGCCTGTGGCTCGTTTTTTCTCGGGCCTCCTGGAAGGCCTTCGTCGCCACGGCTGGATTCGCCTCAAAGTTCTGTTGTCGGAACGCACCTCGCGGTAACTTTTGTTTTCCCAAGACCCCCCTCGGGGCATGTCATGGGTCCTGGGGCCGTCAAGCAAACGGCTCGGGACAACAAGCTTGTCCCGGGGAAGGGGTCCATGGGCCACCCGAGATCCACGCTGTGGACAAATAGCGCGGCGTTGGGGGCCTGTGGCGCTTGGGCAAACTCACGGGGTTCACAGGAGGGGCACGGAGGGGCACGGGAGGGGCAAGGGAGTAATCAAGCAAGCAGAAGAAAGGACCCTTTGGAAACGGTTAGGTTGGAAGCTTCGCCCCTCAAACCAAGTCCTCCTCTACCCTCTCCCCCGCTCCCGTGTCTCGTGGCCGACAAAACGGGGGGGATTGGGACAAGGGTGGGGCACGACAGTGGTGGCATGCACCTAGTTTGGGGCCCGCCGCCGAGCACATTCCTCGGAGGCGCTGGGAAGATCAGCCGCGTGCGGCTGAGTCCGCTGGCCCACTCCTTTGCTACCCCCCCCTTTCGTCCGACCCGACGTTCCCTGGTGCAGCCCCCCCCCTCTCTTTTGCCGTCACGCCTGGCCCTCGCGCCGAGGCCGAGGCCCACAACGGCTTGCGGCCCATCCACCTGGCGGTGCTGAAGGGGTCTGCCGAGATGGTCCAGGCGCGGTGGGGTCGGGGGGGGGCGATGAAGTCCTCCTCCGCGGCGGTCGTCGGCGTCGTCGTCATCGCTGTCTGGAAGTTCTGGAGGTCCTCGTCGTCGCGGCATGACGCGGCTCGGGAATTCTGTGGCATCTTGGACCCTGGAAGGGGTCGCTCGGAGGGGCGATGATCGAGATCCTTCATTCTTCCCTCCCTCCTCCAGTCCCACTCCTCCGGACCCCCTCCTCGTCCTCCACCCCACTCCTGGTCCTCATCCTCCTTCTAGTTTGCGGGTGCCGCCTTTTTGCGCCGATGTGAAAGGCCTGTTCCAAAGTACTTCCAGCCACTGGTGCCTAGATGCGAGAGTCCGCGTCAGGCACGATGCCAGAAGAGTTCCCCATATCTCTCCGCCTCGAGCCCACGCCGACATTTCTTGCTGCAGTGCCCAACAGTGTCACCCTCATTCTCCTCCCCCTCTCCCTCATCCTTCTCTTTTTTGCTGCTCTTACTCTTGCTCCCTTCCACCCCCTCCTGTTGTCGCTTTTCCTCCTCTTTCTCCTCAACCTCCTCTCCGCCTTCTCCTAGGCATCAGGGGAGCGAGAAGGTGAGGGCAACTGGGGGAGCGAGGGGGGGATGCAGGATGTGGGCGGGAGGGAGACCGAAGCAGGGGGAAGGATGATGAGAGAGGAGCAAAGCCTGCATACATATAACTCTCGGATGTCCGCGCAGATCTCAGAGGTCGGCGCTGGACCCCCTTTCCCTTGCACGCTCCGCGCGCCAGGGGCGACGCCGAAGGCACGCCAGTGGGCTGGCGCCGGCCAAACAGATCCGCGCAGAACTCTAAACGTTCACGTCTGGGCCAGTTTTTGCTCTTCCAGAGGAAGGGGAGAACGAGGATGTTGATCGACGAACCTGCCCGCAGCTGCGTGGCGGGCGGGGAGAAGACGATGACGAGGGCGAGGGTCGGCGGCACCAAGCGGCGGCAGCGGCGCGCCTGGGCAGTCCCGGGCGGACGCCCCGTGGCGAATCCGCCCGCGGCAAGCATCGTGTCTAGAGCGAGGAGCCGGCGCGGAGAGTGTCACTGGTGCCTTTCGGCGCGCCAGGGGTGGGGGCCGTCCGGTGGCGCCCCTGGCGGCCGCATGACGAAGCAGTGACCTTTCGCCGGGGTGGCCTCCGGTGCGCGGCTTTGGGGGGGGGGGGAGAGGGGGGCGCGGCGGGGCAGCGCTCAAGTGACGCAGGCCGCTGCTGTCGCATCGCGTGCAGCGACAGGCAGGCCGCGCACCAGAGGTTGCTCTTGCCTGGTGCCACTCTTGCACGCGGCCGGCCGTGGCGGAGCACAGAGGAGCAAAAGCAGAAAAACAGCAACATTGCTATGTCGTCTCAGGGGTTTTGTCTCCCGTGGGCGGGCGGGGCAGGTGGCTTCTCCTCCTTCTCATTCTCCTGCTGCCTCCGCCTCTCCCTTTTTCTCTTCCTCCTCCCCCCCTCCCCCCCCCTCCCCCTCCCCCTCTTCCTCTTCCTCCTCCCCCCCCTTCTCCCCATCCCCCCTCCCGTTTCCCTGGCCCCGCCGGCAGTGGGACCCCGAGTCAGCGCATTCAAGCAAATCGGCAAAAACATAGGCTATGTGTTTGCCGATTTGCGCTAGGACGCTCTTGGGCCTGACCCCCTCCATCACATCAAGCCCGCCGACGTGGGAGGCCGTCCTTCCTCAACCTGCCCGTCCCCCCTGCAACACCCAGGACTTCTCCTCAACAGACGAAGCCGCAGGCACACCGAGGAGAACTCCCAAGCCGAGGACAAAATCCGAACCGAGGAGAAATCCATGGGAATCACAAGGAATCCAGAGGAAGCGTGAGCACTCGTGCGCGCCGCCAGAAAGAAGCACAGGCACGCTCAAACGCACGGCTCCGCCCCGTGCCTCGCTGGCCGCCGCCTGGCCCCTGCCCCGCGGCGACAGGCCCTGCTCGACGTGCGCAGCGACCCGTCGGCCAAGGCCGCGCCGCCCCTTTTTTGCGTGTTGCGCCGGGTGACACCGCTGGCGCTGTGGCCGCCATTGGCTCGTGATGATCGGTTCGTGTCGTGCCGACGCGGCGGCGGCCCCAGCGCTTCGAGGCGGGAGGTTATGCATGACCACCGCCTGGAGGGTCAGTTTTCGGAGCCTCGGCAGGCGGTGGATGCGGGCATTGCTGGGCCCCCGGGGGCCGAAATGTATCCATATCCACCGCCCGCTGGGGCACCAGGACGTCGGTTCCCAGGCGGTGGATATGGATAAATCCCCGCCTCGCAATCGCGGGCGTTCAATGTTGGACGCCACTTTTGGCTTAGAATCGGCCGGTACCGAGCGATCCGCGAGACCTGGAGGCCGCGATCGGTCAAGATTGAACGGTCGACGCGGTGTCAGACGCCGACGCCGACATCATCACGGCACGAACGCGCCATACGTAGCCGACGTCGACGTCATCATATCCGTTTCGGCTCAAGTGGAGGGATCTGTCCAGATACAGTGCGCACTGCGTTTGCAAACCCCTACACGTTCGAGGTAGCATGGTTTTGACTCTCGGGAAGGTGGGTGCACTTCTTGACAGGAAGTTCGAGAAAAACCTTGCACCGCTCAGTGAGCACATCAAGCGTGACCACGACGATCGGCTGAAGCAGCTTGAAGAGAAAATCGAGGGTCAGCAGTCCTCGTTTGCACCATATTGCATCGAGATCTGGGGCATTTGCGAGTGGAAGGAACTTCAGTCGGTAGGTATGACCAGGCCAGCCGTCGTGGCACTGACGAACCAGCTGAAGAGTGCTATCGACATCAGCTTGGCCACCAAGGTGGGCGAGGTCGAAGCCCAGGGATCAAACATCCACACATTCATCATACACGTCGCGCCTCCGCATGCCACGGAGATAATCTGTATTTGTCAGGGGCGTCTTGAAGGGAGGGGGGGCCAATTATCGGCAACACGGCAGCGAACTGTCCACTGCTGTCCAGAATTTGCTGGAAGACGCTTCGAGGCGGGCGGCAATGCCAGGGCGTACGGAGAGACTAAGCCAGAGGCCCTAGACGCAACCAGCATCGTCAAGCACACCGTCGCGCCGACTTCCAGTTGGTCGTAAGCCAGGGTGATGACGGGAGGGTCATGTCAGCAGTGGGCGAGAGGGGGACGGGCTTACAGGAACTTTGGATCCACCCCCGCCGTTCTCGACATGGGGGTGCGGGCCTTTGGTCGCCGTGGGGCGGCCCAGAGTTACGGGAAAGTTGTTCCACCATCGTCTTCCGGAGCATTTGTAGAAGAGGGGCTTGGGCTGCGGCGTGCATGCATCTATTGTTTGTGGCCATGTTATTTCTTTTGCCGAGCTGTACGACGGTGATCTTACTATTCCTTGAGCCGGTATGTGGGCACTCAGGGAATTCAGTTCGGGTGTCTATTGGTGTGGTACCGTAGTGGGCAACGCAATCTACATCCCAGCACGCATTAGAACATTTCGGCGACGGTAGAGAGGCGCAGCTGGTGCCTGATGAAACTCGGATATTAGTCAAACGTGTTCGCCCAGCTTCCTCTTGTGGAGTTCGACCGACTTGTTAAAGGCCGACGCCAACTTTCAGTTCCCAGCGCTCATGCCCGCCATGACGGGGGGACGCAATCAAATTCACTCGCATTCAAAAATATCAGTGGTAAGTTGTTGGATCGAGTCGTTGTGAGTTTTTCTGTTTAGCACGTTTAGCACGTCAAGGATGGAGGTGGATGGTGGGTTGTCGGCGAAGCGATTGTGGACCCAAGGTATAGCCACAGCTGCTGCTACGAGGGTAAAGTCACATATCGACTCGATAGGAATATATGTTGCAATGTATTTGGAGGCGCTGGCCCAGAACATGAAACATAAGTTAATCAAGCGAATTGGCCATTGACCAGTATTTGTTGTGCCACAGCGTGTTGACCGATCAAGTACCACCAGCACCGTCTCTGAAAGCTTGGTGGCCACCTATATATCCATATAATTTGCGTTCTTCGGCGACTACGCATTGATGATGACATCGGTGTCGGCATAGCTGCATGCCAGCAGTGTGCGTGGCGAGCAGCCGTCGATATATATATATATATATATATATATATGTAGATATGTGTCCAGACGGCTCGTGTGCGACTGCGCCACAGCAGACGCGAGGCGAACAGCCAGGTCAACTTCGCCCAGGGAACCGCTGCAAATGCTAAGCCCGCTGAGTAGAAGATCGAGTTCCAAGTGCTCAGGAGCACGATCCGCGACGCCGAACGCACGAGGGATGATTGTCACCTGAAGAACCTCTATGGCGGGGAAACCGCGTCGCACACCTGCTACCACGTTTATCAATGAGACCGCCACCGCGAACACAGGGGCGCGGGTGAAAATAACTCTAGAGTTCGGAAGACAACGTCTCGGGAATAATCGTTGGACGCATAACATACAGGGTCGTCGCCTCTCCTCCTTGGAGGCGGAGCGTTTCGATGGGCGGCCAGGGCCTTCGATTCCATTGCGGAACGCGCTGCAAAGGAGGGCCACGTTGACAGCATGTAAGGATCGGCAGCGATGGCGTTATTCCGGCGATGCACGAATTTCGCGCGCAATTTGCACGTCGCCCCCCTGAACCTACGTGCCTGGATTCGGCGATATGGAAGATGATTGATTTCGCGGGCGCCCGAGTGATCGCGAAGCCGAGTGGCTTTCCTGGATTTCGCTGCGTCGCTTAGCTGGGCGTTCGTTCGCAATCGCGCGCGTTGACCCTTCGACCGCGTATCCAATCTTTATTATCCACAAGTCATGTCGCCACGTTCGGGACGTCTGGGCAGAAGTCTTATCCTGGGAGCTCAGGGCGTCGAGACCGCCTCCGACGGCATGGGGCGCGCGCGCGCGACGTCGGCATTCGCATCCCGGGGGCCGCGTCTTCCATTGGCGAAAGCTTTACTTCGCGAAGTTTCGGGCACGATGCGCAGCCTCACTTGGCTCGGCGCTGATCCGACCGATTGTTGTTTTGCGACTTTGCGCGCGGAGGCAAACGGGGGGCTATCGACGCGCCAGAAGAGCGCAACGTCGTGCTTGGATCCGTCACGGGAGCATGGGGCTTTCATCGGGACGTGGTCTCAGCGCGGCTACGGCTTCGCTCGGGACTAGGGCGGCTCGCTGCGGGTGGCGCATCTAATTTGCGCCGAAAGCGTTTTCCTGTTGGCGTCACCCATCGACGAGTTTACTCGCGCGCACCAGGATGTCACGACCGCCGTCGTTGACCGCGCCTCAAATTGAAGACGTCTTCTCTGGGGGGCATGTCGCGCGGCCCCGGCGCGAGGGAGAGCGTCGAACGTCTGCGCGCGACGGCAGGCGGGGCCCGCAATTGCAGCCTCTCGCCGAACGCGCTTTCCTTTGGAGTCGCGTCAAATTCCAGCGGCGACGCTGCTGCCGTCGCGGCTCTGCCGAGACAAAATTGGCGCGGGCTCCAGTTTCTGACGGCTCGGGGGCGCCGTTTCAGAGCTGGCGGCGCGGGCGACGCGGCCTTCGGCGAGCGCGGCCCGTGGATCTGCGTCGCGGGATGTTTCACAACGCACCCTCTTGAAAGTGGAGAGGCGGGAATGCATCGCTTGGCGGCGCATGCCCAGATTGCAGCGCGCAGCTGGGGATTGGCGCGGACAGTTCATGATCCGCTGCGCGTTGTTTTTGACGGGCCAGTCTCACTCGGTACGCCGTATTCTGACGGGCGGATTTGAAGGCGCCTGGCCAACGAGTCATTCTGGTTTGCCGAATGGGTCAAATATTGCATGCTTCAGAAGGAACTGCCCCGCGAGGCATTGGTGGCTATCTTTGGAAGCGCTTGGCGGCGAGCGCGTGCGGCGGAAATTTGGCCCGGCGCGCGACGACCACGGCCATCGTTTCGGGCGGGGAGATGCACCCGCGATTGTTTTCGGCATTGACTGCAGGTGCGAGCGAGGCCAAATCGCCGCGGCGTGTTTCCCGCAGTTCGAACCGTGCCTTGACGATTTGCGGACGCGGCTCAGACACGGCGCCGACGCCGCGGCGCCAGCGAATAACGCGACCCAGACCAGCCTCTGGCGAAGAAGAATCGCCGCCCATCATTGGGATCAGTTCCCTGACTGCCATCGCAACGGTGCTCTTGGCGCGCGCGATGGGGGGGGGGGGGCGAAAAGGCGCGCCGTGTTTCTGACGGACTGCGAGCCTTTCGCCGGAGCGACCCATGGGGGGGGGCCGTGCTCTAGGACCCTAGTCCGGCCCCCGTGCTCGAGCGCGCCGCCCGCGACATCTTCGGCGCGCTCCAGTCTGGCCGGCGCCCGGCGCGAGACGCCGACGACGCGGTCCGTCGGCGTCAACGGGCGCGGAATGTCTGAGCCGATTAATTGGCCGACGGCGCGATGGATTGCCCGGGGCCCTGGTTTCAATCTGGTTAATTTCCGCCGTGGACCTGGCGAGTGCGAATCATCTGACGCGCGCGGGCGGTGGCGCGCGCGCCGCCGCGCGCTCGGCAGCTGCTCGGTGCGCCGAGGCGGTCGCGCGCGAGGGCGCCCGCGCAGTGGCGATGCCGATAGGCACGGCGGGAACTTTTATCAGTGAGAGCGTTCGCGCATGAAATTAATCGGCAGCCGGCCATCCAGCATGCGACCCAGGCCTCGAGGATATCGCGCGCCATGGCGCGACGCCGCTGGGGGCGTTTCCCCGCCTCTGGGGGGCTTCCATCGCTCCCAGTGCAGGGGGGGAAAAGGAGTGCAGGGGGAAGGCGAGGGGTCTGAGATGGGCGGCGGGCAGATGGCGTCGGCGGGGCGCGAGGCGGGGGGGGGCGGCGTGGCGGGGCGGGGCTCGACGAGGAGGAGGAGCGGGAGGGGGAGAGGGGGGGAAGGGAGAGAGTGGTTCACGCACAGATGCATGTATATGCATGTGCATGTATGGATGCGCATATTTCTATTCATACATATACATATATGGGTCACACGGAGAAGCGCGCGCGTGCGAATATTGCGCCTGGGTCGTGAGTCAGAATTCGCAGGGGTGCTTCTCGGGGGTCTTCAGGGCGCTCGACGGCGACGACGCCACGCCCCATGACGCGAGCGATAGCGAGGTCGCGTGGAGCACGAACGAGAGCGCGAACGCGCATTCATGGTGTCCCCCAGTAGTACTTATTTATTTGGGGAAGCTTCAAGGCCCCCCGGAAATCTCGAATGAAAACGGAAGAAGTATCGAACGGGAACGTCATTATTGGAGAGGCCTGATGGCCGGCGCCGCCGACCCTGATCGAATGGGCTGGGAGTGGGGGATGGAAGCGGAGGGTGACGAGGAGAGGAGGAGGAGGAGGAGGAGGAAGAGGAGGAGGAGGAGGAGGAGGAGGAGGAGGAGGAGGAGGAGGAGCAGGAGGAGGAACAGGAGGAGGAGGATGAGGAGGAGGAGGAGGAGAAGGAGGAGAAGGAGGAGGAGGAGGAGGACGAGGAGGAGGAGGAGGAGGAAGTGCATCCTTTGTTTGCCCGCTCGAAGACAGTGCACCCCGACTTGGGACGCGCTCCCGGAAGAGGAAAAAGTGCATCTCGGGCGTGCCCGCTCGAGGAAAATGCGCCCTATGGGATTGGTAGTTTGACTCGGGGCCCGCTCTTGGGACGCCTTTGCGGGAGGAGGAGGAGAAGGAGGAGAGGAGCAGGAGGAGGAGGAGGAGGAGGAAAAAGGAGGAGGAGGAAATGCATCCCGTGCGTGCCCGCTCGAGGAAAGTGCGCCCCGGCGGGCGTCGTATCTGCCCCGCCGCCCCCCCCCCCCCCCCCTCTCCCCCCTCCTCCCCCCCCCCCCCCCTCCCCCCCCCCCCCTTCCCCCCCCCCTCTGCGGGGAACGGATCAAAAGGGGCTTCCTTTCGACTCCACTACGACGTCGTTTAATTTCGCTTTGGATAGCGCGCTTGGGGAGGAGAGCCCTGGGAAGGGGGAGAACGGAGACGACGGAGACGACGAGTCGAACGGAGAAACCCCTCACACACGCCGACAGGGCCGGCGGATTTGTAGGGGGTCTTGAGGCGGGAGCGCCGAACCTGAGGTGAAAAACAAATCACTATCGAGCGGGGGCGCCGATTTTGTTGGACAGGCGGCTGTGGGGGCCGAGCAAGAGCCCCGGCCCCGAGTGGGAAAGGAGGAAATTGCGACCAGGAGTGTCGTTTTGGTTTGGGGGCCTAGTTTAGTCGCACCCGGGAAACGCGCGAGCGCGAGCCTAATTTTCAAAGCAAACGCAATTGGCGCACACGTGAGAACGCGAAAGCGCACTCATGGTGCCCAACAACAACAAGTCTTGAGTAATCAAGTTCAACAACAGCAACGGCAACAACAACAACCGCAACGATCCGCGACGCATAATCCACTTAAGCCGCTCACCCGCGGACAATGAATGACCGTTCGGCCCCCTTCATCCTTGTAGATACATAAATTTGGATACACATACGCACATCTATATATGTAAGTTCACACATACATTTTACATCTACGTACATACAGACATACGCATGATAAAAAGGCAGGGCGAAGGAGAAGGATAGTGTGGGAGAGATATGCGTATCTACATAGAACAACAAAAAATGACGACGCTGACGCCGACGCCGGTGACGACGATGAGAAGAGCGAGGTGGGTGAGGATAGGGCGGGGGAAGGACGTGGAGGAGGAAGACGAGAAGGAGGACGCAGGACGCAGCATAGAACGACGAAACACCCGAAAACGCGACGACGACTATATAATAGTGGGGGAAGGTGATGACACATCAACCTTCAGAGAAAACCAAACAACTTACGGACTTGACTGGACGAGCCTGATCCCAGTTGCTGGGTGCCTGCCTTCAGAGAGCCATTCCCTGGCTCGCCAGCGGGCCGGGTTGGGGGGGTTCGTGGGGAATGGGTCACCAAGGGCCTCATGAGGGGGAGGAGGGTGGAAGTGAAGGAGGAGGCGGAGGCGGGTTGATCTTGGAACTGGGAGGCCCCCGAGGTTGGGGGATGCTTCGCTGGGCTGCGGTTGCCGTTGTTGCCCCCCTCCCGCGCGCTTCGCGCCTCTCTCCCTCCTGCCTTTGCCCTGTTCCTCCGTCCCTTTTTTCCGTGCCCTCCCCGCTTGGGGGCACGAAACGAACTTCGCCGCGCGAGTCTCCCGGGGTTTGGGGCTGGGCCATTTCGCCCGCAGACTCGTGGAGGCTTTGAACGTTTTCGTCGCAGTGGCCACGCTCCGTGCCAGTGCCGTGCGTGCTGACCTGTTCGCGGCAATGAGCATACACTTTTCGGGCCGCGGGCTTTTGAAGTAGCATGATGACCCTCCGAAGCGACCTTCGCTGTGGCCCAACGTCTCCCGGGTATCTCCCAGGAGAGTAGAGTCCCCGTGTTCATGTGTTTCCTGTGCTCTCCCAGCAGCCGCGCGCGCACGCGCAGTTGGGCGCCAGGGTCTTCATGCGTGCGAGAGCCGGCCAGGGAGAGGCGCCGAGAGGGGGCGATAGGGCGATTTCGCCTCGGTGGGCTGAATGTCCAGCACCAGCTCAGCGTGTGCGCAGGTTTGGGTGAGGAGGACAGTCCAGGAATCGGTTTTGACGGGCTGGTCTACCGTGAAACAGTGAAACGTCAGCAGAAACGGTGACATTGTTGTGGCCCGACCCGATGCCATGATGTCCAGACTGCCGCACATGAGCAGGAGAGGGAGGATATGCAGGAGACGGATCCGAAGTGGGAAATGCACAGGCAGCGGAGCAAGAGGAAGCGCAGGAAAGTGAAAAGGAGTCCGTCGTCAGAGACGCGCACGGGTCATGCCTAGGTCGCGCTGGTGCTCCAGGGCGCACGCCGTTGATTTACACCTCGAGCTGTCGAGCCCGTGTGCGCGCGCGAGCGTCGGAGCAGGTCGTGCTGCCTTGCGGCGTCGAGGTCACGCCGCTGCTGATGGCGATTGCGGGATCCAGGACGGGCTCCATCGGGGGCGGGCGAAGGGGGGAAAGTGAGAAGGAAAAGGACTTAGCCTTCACCGAAGACAAACAAACTTCTCAGACGGTGCGAGGGTTTCTGAGGAGTCCCGCGGCCTTCTGAGAAGGCCTTCTCCGTCTCATTTCCCCCCCTCGCTCGCCGCCGACTTACTTCAAGATTTGGACGGTTGCGGCTGGTCTGATATTCGAGTCGAGGTCTGCAGATCTGTAGCAACATGATTTTTCTGAGTTCCCCGCGGAGATCCTGGGCTGGCGTTGGACCGAAAGCGCCGCTTTCGGCACGCTCCGCGCGCCAGGGAGGGGGATCCACCGCCGATCCGAAAAAAAACGAGCGGACCTCCGACAATTTATCTTTATGTTGAATGTCCTGTTTCGGACATCTGGATGATGTGAGGATCCACCTGGCGTCTAGCCTTCCGCCACATGACGTATCAGGTCCGTGTAATTGTTGATGTGTTGTGATGCTTGTGATGTGCAGCTTGGTATGCTGTGATTTGCTCTGCTGCATGCTGGTATGATCTGCTTCCTGTAATTCGCGGGGCCGTGCCCAAACAGCCTCTCAATCCGTTCCTTTTCCTCCTCATCCTATGCCCATTCCCCCCTCCCATGCTCCTCCCCGTTCTTCCCCACTTCTTCTACGACCTCACGACGGCGACCCGTGACCACGACCTTCACGGGCCCCGGGACATATTCAGGAAGAAAAGCCGGGCCCGCGAAAAAGGTGAGTGATGATGAGGTGTACACATTGTGCAGAAAAGATCACGACGGCGGAGGTCAGGGCCGGGTGCGGGTTCGGCGGCGGCCGGTCCACCTTTGACCCGAGAGTCCTCTTTTGCATGTGCGATGGGCTGTCAGACGGCCCAGTAGCCATGTGGGGAAGATTCACGACGTCGGAGGTGCGTCATTCACGTGCCAGTCTGGGGCGCGGCGCCCCCGGAGGCCCCGACGGGGCAGCCCCGAGAGGCCGCCAGGAGGCTGCCGTCGGCCCTCGGCGCACTTCGCCCTCGGCGGCAGCCCGGCGGGAGGCCGGCGGGAGCGAAGCGGCTGCGGGTCCGTTGGCGGGGGGCCGGCGGAAGGCGACGGAAGCAAGGGCGAGACGTCAACGCTGGGATTCCAGGGCCTCCCGGGGTCGGCCGCGCGCCAGCCTGGGGCGCGGCCGCCGCACGCATCGGGGCGCCGGTGGCGGCCAAGATCGAGCAAGGGAGAGCTGCACGAACCGAAACGTTTCGGAGGGCCGCGCGGATTGCTTGGGACGGCGCTTGGCCCCCCCGGCGGCGGTTCCGGCGCCGCCTTCCCTGGCAGTCTACGCGCCGGGAGGCGGGTCCAGCGCTGATCGTCGAGATCTCCACAGATATTCAGAAGCGAATTCCCAAAACAGTGCTTGTACTTAGGGGCTCTTACTCGTGCTACCTACGAAAATGGATGTGCGTTTGTGGTTTTTGCCTGCTGGACGCATCTCATTGCACTGCATTGTTTATGTGACATATGTCAATCATTGTGCTTAAACATCGGAACTTGCACCGCCTGGCTTGCACTACATAGTTGACACAACACAGCTTGCACCACATAGCTTGTACCAAGCATATAACGTACCACAGTGGTGTATTACACATGGCTTACACCACGTAGCTTGCACCATGCTTGTATACATCTATATGGGTGCATATATACACATAGGTATGTATGGCATCACGTGACTTGCAGCGCGCTTAGATTTATTCATTTGGAGTGTATTGCATAGCCTGTACACCCAGGGTGCAATAGCTCACTGTTTTGGGGGCAAGCTGGCAAACACGCTTGTGTATATTGATCTTTGCTTGAGAGGAGCAGCAGGACGCAGGATCAACACGATATTCATATGGCCTATGGCATTTCATCTGCAGTAGCGCTTCCCGTTGTGCCAAGGACGTGTTTGTGAAGCGCTAGCCGGTTAACGTTTAGGTTCGAGAGTTGAATCGTGTTGTGTGATTCGGGATTCTCGTTTGGATTGAAGCCGTTGGGGGAGTTTTAGGGGCAGGGCTTTCGGGTATGTTTCGCTGGACGGCAGCAAGCGCGAAGCAATTTTCGTCCACGAACTGCACGATAGAAAAGTTATCCAAGTTGTCTTGCACGTCGAGTGAACCTATAGCGCGCTCCTGTTGGTTGACGAGTGCGGTGATTCTTGTTCTCTACCCCTGTACCCTGTGCTCCTTGCCTTTCCTATCTGCATGGGGTGTCTCTCCAACTTGTATTATCCACTTTGTACCCTGTGCTATCGACAGTCGCCGCTCCAGACTTTGCTCTCCTCCGCATCTCTCCTCTATGATCCCTGTGTTTTGCACTGCACTCAGCCCCATGCTTTCTAGTTTCTACTGGTTGTACTGTACATTCTACCCCCCATTCTGTACTCGCTCTGCCCTTTTCAATCTTCTGATTCGCTCTACTTTCTTTAAACGCATACTTCCTCCACTCTCCTAAACCTAACTACTCTCTGTACCCTGTACTCTGGGAGCCCACGCACCGGGCCGCCCCCTAGAATCCAGAGGAAACGTTTCGCCAGAGTGTTTGTCAGGTGCCCCTCCTGCCCGACCATATTTGTTCGACCAGTGTCCCTCCCTCCCTTTTCCCCCGTCCTTTCCTTCTTTTCTCCCGCTCCTTGCTTCCCCAGGCGGGCGCGCGCGCCTAACGGTGAATGTCGGTGGCTCAGGTCCCACGGCCGCGCGCCCGCCTCCTCCGCCTTCCAGTCCCTCTCCCCATTCTCCTCCACCTCTCTTCCCCTCCGGCGTATCCCCCCTAATCGTCAGGCGTCCTTACCCGCGCTCGGCGTTTCACCCCCCCCTCTCCCTGGCTTTTGGCTGGGGCGGCGGGGCCGGACAGGTGGTGCACAGCCTGACCAGCGCTTCGCCGAATCCGCACTGTGTGTGTGTGGAACGTGGGGCCCAAAACTTGGAACCTGGCCGCCCACCAGAATCAGTTCTTGCACTTTTGCCCCAAATCCGCACGTTGTGTGAAAACTGGGATGAAAACTGGGACCCTGGGAACCTGGCCGTCAGCCGAAATCGGCAGCACAACGTGTTCGCCGAATCCGTAAAGAGTGTGTGTGTGTGTGTGTGTGTGTGCGCTTGTGTGTGTGAATGTGTGTGTGTGTGTGTGTGTGTGTGTGGGGGGTGAATGTGTGCGTGTGTTTGTATGTGTTTGTGTGTGCGTGTGTGTGTGTGCGTGTGTGTGTGTGTGTGTGTGTGTGTGTGTGTGTGAAAGAGGCCATCCTTCCCGCCCGCGCCGGGCTTTTGTCCTTCTTCCCCACGTGCATCTTGGCTGAATTCGCATCTGTATACCCTACACATGCTCATTCCGCCAGCGCAGTCACTGTGCCTACTGCCGAAGCAAAACAAATGCGTGTGAAAGAACCAGGGGCCCAGAACTGTGAACCTGGAAACCCGGCCGCCCACCGAAGTCGGCGGAACAACGTGTCTGGAAAATCCGCACAGCGTGTGGAATCTTGGGACGCAGAATTGTGAGCCCAGGGGCCCAGCTGCCCACCGGAATCGGAAACCCAACGTGTCGGCCAAATCCGCGCAGCGTGTCGAACCTGGTGCCCTGAACCTGGAGCCCTGGAGCCCGGTCGCCCACCGAAGCCGGCCCCAGGAACTTGGCCGCAAGGGCCCCCTGCACTGCAAGCGTTGATAGTGGCCGCGAGGGGCGCTGGGGGAGGAAGGGGGCGATGAGAGAGCGCTCGCCACCGCCGAAGAAAGGAGAGCGGGTGTAAGCGCGAAGCGATGTTGGATTCCGAGAGAGTGGCTGGAGCGCTCGCGGAAGTCGCACACAAGTTTGGTGCATTTCAAAGTTTGCGCAGTGCGCCGCCGTCGTTGGCGAGGTCGACGCCGCTCTGTCCGTCGTCGTCGACGTCGTCGCCAAGGTCCAAGCCGTCGTCGTCGACGACGGCCTGGCCGTCGTCGTCAACGTGGTCGTCGCTGGCGTCGCCGCGTCGACGTCGTCGCCACCGCCGCCGACATCGCCCCGCCCTGGCCGCCACCGCCGCCGACCTCGCCGGTGGAGGGCCCGCTCGCTGGGGGCGGCGGCAGGCCGCACATTCTGAGCCAGCTGGTGAGCGAGCTGCCGCCCGGGGAGCTGTCGGCCAGGGCGCGCACCCCCCACGCGCTAAGCGCCGGCGGCAGCAGCGCTGCTCGGCGACGAGGGGCGGCGAAGGCGGCGGCGAGAAGGAGACGGCCAGGGCCACAGACACGGCGAGAGCGGCGGCGACGGGGGCGTCGAAGGATGCCAACGGGGGGAGGAGGAGGAGGAGGAGGAGGAGGAGGAGGAGGAGGAGGAGGAGGAGGAGGAGGAGGACGACGAGGAGGAGGAGGAGGACGAGGAGGAGGAGGAGGAGGACGAGGAGGAGGAGGAGGGAGGGGCTGGGACCGGAACTTGCATGAGCGTTGGGGGAGGGTGCTTGGGACGGGAGGGTGTGCTGCAGCATCGTTGCTGCATCCTGATGTGACTTTGGTCTCGCCTCCCCCATTTTTTCGTTATAATTTTACAAATAATTTCGTCCTGTCGCACCCCGAGGCCAGTCGGAAGGATGGTCTGGAAGTTGCGCTTGAGACTCCCTTGCCATCTTCATCCTGACGTATAGAATTGGCAACAGTTTCACACATGGAGGGCGGATCGCTTCAAACATGTGGCTCTCGGCTTAGCACCGCGCACACTTGTCGTAAACATTTGCCAGATATCCAAGGAATCCCATACTTCACGTATGTACCAGAAATGGAGTTTGCGAACGATTCAGACATGCCCAGGCGCAGCAGTTACGTTGATTGGCGGCGTTGCAGTCCCAGGAATGATGTCTTGGTACGGTTCAGGATCGTCAAGACGCAGAAGTCAGGTTGATTCGTGGCTTTGGAGTCCCGAGAATGGTGTTTGGGCACGCTTCAGGACCGTTTAAGCGGTTGTCTCCCAACGGGGCATTTCGCTTATGTTTTTAGAGGCCTATGGAGAGGGAGCTTGGAGGGAGGGTTTTCCCAACATCGTTGATGAGTCTTGGGTTTGCACTGTTCCTCCTCCTCCTCCTCCTCCTCCTCCTCCTCCTCCTCTTCCCTCGTTCTTCCTCGCCCCCCCAACCTCCTTCGGCCTCATCCTCTCTTCTCCCTCCTTGCCTCTTCCCCTCCCCATCTCGTCTCCCTCCTACGAGACAAGGTACAGTGTGCGCGCAGACTCACCAAAACGCTTACAAAGAGGGAAGAGGACGAGGAAGAGGAGGAAGGGACGGGGCCAGAGGAGAAACTGTTAACGCTACATGCATGTCGCATGTCTTGTCATCTCGCGGCCTCTCCTTCCTCCCTCCTCCCTCCTCGCCCCCCTCCTCCCTCCCCACCCCTGGCATCCGCTGCCCGTGGCCCCAGGTGTCCCAGTTCGAGTCCTCCCTTGCGCTCGTTGCCGGGCGGATGTCGGAGGCTCTGCCACGCCGCCGACGGGGAAGCCTACGACGACATCGACGACGTGGTCGAGACATTGTTGCGACGTCGTTGTCGATGCCGTCGTCTACGCCGACGACGTCGTCGCTGACGGTGCCGACGTCACTGACGGTACTCCCGTCGTCGGCGTCGCCGCCGCCGTCGATGTTGACGCCGCCGTCGTTGTTGCCGACGTCGACCTCGTCGTCGCCGCCGCCGATGCCGTCGCAGCCGCTGTCGTTGTCGTCGACGTCGTCGTCTCGGAGGGATCTCTTGGCGCTCCGGGAGGCTCCTCGTTGCCGCGGCCGGGTCGCGGCGACGAGCAAGGCGGGCCGGGGACCCTCTGCGGGAGTACGTATTTGGGTCATCCTTGAAAGCGAGGATCGATATCCTCCTTCCTTCCCCCTCCTTCCCCGTCCTCCCCTCCGCCCTCCCCTCCTTGAGGATACAATTTCTGGGAGGCGAACTTAGCATCAGCGCTGGTATATCCTCGGGCCGAACGAAAGGAGGGGATGGGGAAGGGAGGGTATGACATCTGCTGCATGCAGCTGGTTTCGACCCCGCCGCCGGGCCCATTCCTCTATACATTGGCACCTCCCGCGCCAGGAGGCGCAAGGAAAACCAGCTGCGTCAGCTGATTCTCTACCCTGCCCTTTGCTATCCTACTCTTTCGTCCTCCCCGGTATATGTGGTCGGTAGCCGGTCTCCCTTCTCTTCGGGTCGGCTGCGTGTTCGACGTTTGCATGTTGTTCCCACAGTCCCAAGTAAGGTTGCACATCTTCCTTGGAGTCCGCACTGTCGTCGAACCAAGAGTACCACCATTGGTTCTAGGGCCTAGGGTTAATGCCTTCAGCATTACGGCGTACAGACTGTTTCAGTGCCGAGTCCGACCGATCACCTTCGGAACCTTCCTCCTCCTCCTCCTCCGCCTCCTCCTCCTCCGCCTCCTCCTCCTCCTATTCTGTTTGTATAAAACCAGCGGCAGGGACCAAGGATTATTAGGGCCAGGTCTCAGTTTTTGTCTCCCTGCAGGTGACGGTTATGCAGATATCGTGATTAAAGCTCACGCAGTGGAGGAGTACGACACGTACTTTGCGATTCACCAGTCTGTATCCTTCTCTTCATATATCGATGATACTGGCATCGGCGTCGAAGGCGACACGAAGACGGAGGTCATTCGCAAGGCTATTCAAGCAGGGCGAGGATTTCGGGCCACGGCGGCAAAGCTTAAGGCGACCATTAATGACAAGTTTGCCATCGTGAGCAGCTCGGATGACATCAGCAAGCAGATCGCGGAGGGTCTCATGGTCAAGCCCCTTTCTGCAAAGAAGGCTGTTTCGTTTCTGGGCACCGACTTCTCCGCAAGCAAGTGTCGCAGTGCGATAGGCACGAGGGGCAAGTACCAGGCTCGAGCTCGTCATGATGCGCAAGCTTGGCAAGTTTCGAAGGGCGATCCCCACAAAGGCCAGCGAACAGATAATGAGGATCTACAGGACAGGGGCCAAGCCTGCCCTGACCTTCGGCGTCGCGATTAACGGCATGAGCGACAGTGAGTTGGATCAGTTCCGTAAAGGTTGCCAACGCCAGCGAGAGCTTTACCATGGTGGGGTATCGGCGTCGGCGAAGCTCGTTCTACTTAGAGACCCAGCTGCTCGTGAGGCGTTAGCACCAGCACTCCACTGGTGCCGTATTTGCTGGATTGCTAATCGTTGCCCCCAGGCGTCCACGGTGCCGCTCAGCGAATTGATGCAGTGGTGGGACAGTGCCGTGACTGCGCAGGGCGTGCTGGCGAAATGGAGTCAGACAAGAGGGCCGCTGCAAAGACCTGCTCTATGCGTCCAACGTGCAGGCTGGATTGTCTTATCGGGCGCTCAGCGGAGGAACCACCGCGAGGACATCGTGGACATTACCCAGACTACCCCCATCATGCCTGAGACATTGCTGGCGCAAGGCCTCACTGGACAGCATGAACTGGCTCCCGGCGCGAAGTGGTATGATGACCCCTCGCTGCGCGTCTCCTTCGGTTTCGTGGCACCTTACATCAGGCCTGCCAGCAGGAACTTCAACACGCACCAGAAGTTCCGCATCATGAGTCGTGCGTGTGATGGGATATGTACGCGCACAGAGACCCGGAGTAAGGGGTACACCACGGACGGCAAGTGCAAGTGTGGAGAGTTGGACACATTGGCACACCGACTGGCAGACTGTCAACTTCCTGACGTGGTGGCTGCGCGCAGTGAGGCTGACGGAGCCCAGGTCTTTCCAGACATCGATGCTGGAGATGGCGGCCACATTCTCACATGATGTTTCACATAACATGAGGAGGAGATCCCTCGCACGGACCTCGGCCTTCAAGCATGCGCGGTTGACATCGACGGCGACGACGCGGAGCAAGGGCCTGAATACATGGTGAAATATGCGGTGCTGTCAGACACGACGGAGATCGAGTTTGCAATAGATGGGTCTTGCTCCAGTCCGGCGTTGCTGGGACTTCAACGGGCTGGTTGGGCGACGGTATTGCTGGGGCCCGTGAGTGCGGAGCCTCTGCAGGTTATGTGCGCAGCGGTACCTGTCAGCCTACCGCAAAATTTTGCAATGGCTGAATTCTTCGCTTTTCCTTTCTCGTGCCAGGCTGCAGATCGACCGACGACTCTTCATGCCGACTGCAAGGGAACAATCAACCAGTTCAATAGGACGGCGCAGAGGAGAGAGTACAGGTCACACAGAGGTATGGCGGTGCATTTGGATTGGCGCAGAGTCTCCTTGGCGTCGAGCACGTAAGGGATGGTCGTCATGTTAGGGCACGCCGAGCAGGAGACGACTATGCCAACTTGGACGAGGCTACCGAGCGCATCGCCGAGGGCAATGTTGTGTCTGATCATTATGCGGCTGACGGAGCGAGGAGGCACATGGCCAGTTCATCTGGCTTCCAAGAACGGATGGGGCGTCGTCAGAAGGCGTGCAAGGGCCTTGACACGCTGATCGCGCACGTCTTACCGTTGTTTGACCAGGGGGAGGAGCGATGGCAAAGGAACCGTCCTGGCTTCAAGCGCGTCAAGAGCATAAGGGCGGACAGCTGGCATGACTGGCAGGACTCCGAGCCAGGGCAGCAGTGCACCAGGTGCTTGCGACTCCGTCAGCCTGAATACGATTAACTAAATGGCTGCGCTGGTACTCCGACCTTTCTCAATGCGTACCTCGCCAACCCGTTGGGGCGCAGGCCCGCGGCCGTCAATCAGAAGGGCGACTTCAGCGACATGGCCTGTAAGGCGACCGTCTTCGAAAGCATCGAGCGCGGGGCTTGGGCGCAGCAGAGGCGCAAGTTCAAGCTACGCGAAGAGCGTGCTTGGCCAACGACGAAAGGCTTGGAGGCCCTGTCCAACCTACGCAAAGGCATAGGACCACACAAAAAGCTAGCGCGACATATTGATGCGAGCCTGCCTCTACGACCCAATGCTCGGACTCGTCGGCAGCCTGAGAAAGTGGTCATTCGCGTCGCTCGGCCTGTCCCTGATGGGCCTTGCAGGTGTGAGCAGCGCGTGTCAAGGCTACATGCAAGGGCTCGCGCAAAGGAGCTGGCAAGCACGCAGCAGGCAGACGACGCCGACACCATGCTCGATGACAGCGGCATCATGAAGGGCGACCAAGGCTTCCGAGCGCAAGTCCTGGATGCTGCTAAGCAGCCTCACCAGGCCCAGTCGTCGCCACCCCCTGGCGCTAGAACGCAAGTCCTGGACGCTGCTGCGCAGCGTCCCCACGCTCAGTCGTCACGCTCGGGTGTGAGAGCGCAAGTCCTGGACGCTGCTGCGCAGCCTTTGCCAGGCTCAGTCGTCGCCACGACAGCTGGGCGCAGGAGAGCCAGGAAGATGGTGCCAAATCAGGATCAGCCTAGAACCATGGGTCTACCTCCGCCAAGCCTCGTCGGTGATGATCAGGCAGTGCTAGCGGTGCAGGACTACGCTGACATGCGAGCAGACCTACGAGATTGGGCGGCGCTGTGGTTCGACGATCACCTGCTTAGCGAGGGGCAGCTCTAACTGGCAAGAGTGGTGCGCTGCCTTCCTCGGCCCGGTGCTGAACCGGGGCAACCATGAACCACTCCGTCGACTACTGCCACGGTGGTTTCCTGAAAGGACGCTGCAGTCAATCATCGAAGAGTTATGTGCAAGTGCCTGGAGGGAAACCGTCGAAGGACGTGCCGCATTCATTCGCAGGCTGGAAGGAGCGTCACATGTGGACCGAGTGCGGCTGGAACATTGCCCCTGGCGAGCGCTGGCGGAGGTTCGCGCCGTGTTCCGTAGGCAGCCGGCTCCCAGGAGGCCCGATCATAGCGATGATCATGCTGGTGATCGTGCTCAGCAGCTGTTAGAACGGATTGGATGGTTTTCTGCAGTGGGCTCTATTCTGTCAGATTGTGTCCTGGACGATGGCAGTGCTAATATCGAATGCAGGCCTAATGCCCCGTCGTGCCCCCTGAGCGAGGGATCCGATCTGGCTGCTGATGTGGCCCCGCTGCTCGGTGGCACCTCGTCGACCCCAGTGCGGCTGCGGCGGCCATGGCAGGGCGCGGCTTGCCCTAACTTGAGGCCAGGACAAGAGCAAAGGGTAAGGTCCCACGCCAGCGTGCATCAGGAGGCCAGCAGTTCGTCGACCTGGCCAGCGGCGAGTGCCACAGCGACCGCTACGGCGAGGCGCAGGGTTGTTGGCAAGAGTACGGTTAACTACCCCCCTGCCAGGCGAGGGGTTAGGCCCGTCGAAGCGGTGCTGAACGAGGTGCAGTTATCCCCGGCCAGGCGATGGGGTAGGGCCTGCAGCAACTGCGGCTGGGCACACGGTGGAGGCTCCTGAGGGGCCCAGAGGGCATGAATTACAGCGAGTGGCATCCTCGGGGGGCCTCGCCAGTGCGATTGCGTCGGCGAGTTTGGTATCGGCGGTCTCCTCAGCCAGGCGAGGGGTTAGGCCTGAGGTGCTGCCGCCGCGGGCCAAACTTGACGGCGAGG